ATGACAATAAGCCAGCTGAAGGGCTGGAGGTAATGCATTTGCCTTTCACGTGGTCAACTCTGGTTTGATTCCCAGCATCCCATATGGTCCCCGGAGCACTGCCAGGAGTAATTCCGGAGTGCATGAACCAGGAGTAACCCCTGAGCATCTCTGGGTGTGACCCAAAAAGAAAAAGAAAAGCAAGTTGCTAGGAAAGGGCGCAACAATGAACAAGGGTTACTGGCAGTTTATCACACAGTTTATCTCTTTGGAGGTAGACAGAATTGAGAATTCAAATTGCTTTCATTAGCTGAGCAATATGCTGTGAGAATAGGCTTGGGTACTCATCAAGAGGCTTTTTTCATTTGCATTTGCTAAACTGTCAAGCTGCTGTTTTCTAGGTGCTTAAGAGCTGTGAAGAGGAGAAAAGAAAAAACATCTCAGGTAAGGAAGCCAGGGGGCATGTGCACATTAGATTAGAGAAAAAAAAAAGAAAGAAAAAAATTATCAATGAAGAGTGGGAACTGTGCCTTGTGTGTACAAAAGGAGAGCATTACAGTTGGAAGCTAGAGGGTCTATTCATTCTCCTCCTAGTCACCAGTAACATAAACAAAACTAGAGGCTGCTCCTTTGATAAATGATCAATATTTTACCATGACTCTATTCCAGCTGCCCTGCTGTTGGTAACTAAAAGTTTGAATTTCAATTAGGCAATTTCCATTTATGGGAACATATCTTAAATAGTCAGTTACCATCTCCCTCATCACATACAATCTGAACACAGCTAGTTATTTGACAGTTATTTCCATTCAGCTCACATCGGCACTGCACTGCACTCTCCTCCCAATGTTCATCGATTTGCTCGAGTGGGCACCAGTAACATCTTCATCGTGAGACTGGTTGTTACTGTTTTGGCATATTGAATACATCATGGTGAGCTTGCCAGGCTTTGCAGTATGGGCAAGATACTCTTGGTAGCTTCCTGGGCTCTCCGAGAGGGGCAGAGGAATCGAACCCGGGTGGCTGTGTGCAAGGCAAACGCCCTACCCGCTATGCTATTGCTCCAGCCCACATTAAAGTAAAAATATTCTTGTTTGTTAAGGAATTTTTTAAAAAAGGAATCACTAAATATTAAATAACTGTTTACACTTTAATAGTACACTTCCAACCAAAAAAAAAACTATGCTAGCACAAGTATTTGTATATTAATAGGTAATCAAATGTATTAATATATGATCTGAATCTGAGCTCTATTTATTTAGTTGCATAAATGGATGTTCTACTGAATAATACTTTTCTACATATATAAGTACTGAGAAAAATTTAAGCTATTTAATCCACAAAAAACAAAATCATCTATAATATTCATCTAACCTAAATCAGTGTAAATAGTCTAATTATTTTTCTTTTTCATCAAATGAAATTTTTCTGTAAAGTTTTTTGGGGGTCCACAACCCAGAATGCTCAATGCTTACTCCTGGCATTGTGTTCAGGGGTCAATCCTACTCTGGAGACCATATGTGGTGCAGGGTTCTTGAACTGGGCTTGGCCACACGTAAGACAAAACTCTTTACACCTGTGCTCTCTCTCTGGTACCATACGTAAGCGTTTTCATTTTGAAACATCATTTGCTGGTTCCTTACATATAAACTTACAGACAGGATAAATTAAAATGATTTCCAGAGTTTTCTTGAGAATCTAATATTTTAAGACAAAATTAAGATTTAGAGACAACAGATTAGATTCTTTATCTGGAGTATCAAAACAACTTTAAATTTATGAAATTATAGTTAAAAATTACCACATCTAATGCTACAGAAAACAATTGGATCCAATATTCTGAAAATATATGTATATATAGATATATATATATTTCTGTTCAGAATATTAGAAGAAAGTATTAAGTCTGAAGGCAAATTCAGATTCTTAACAAAATTCTTACATTAAATTTACTACATTTTCTCTCTTTTAGTGTTTTTTAAAACTTAAATCACTGTGAGATACACAGTCACAAAGTTGTTCACGATTGGGTTTCAGTTACACGAAATTTCCTTTCACCAGTGCACATTTCCCACCACCAGTTTCCTCAGTTTCCCTCCCATAATCTTCCCCAGCCTGCCTCTATGGGACAGGCTTCTCTCTCCCAATCTCTGTCTATCTCTATCTCTATCTCTATCTCTATCTCTATCTCTATCCCTCTCTGTCTCTGTCTCTTTCTTTCTCTCTCTCTTGCTCTCACTCTTCCCTCTCCCCCCCCTCTCTCTTTCTTTTTGGGCATTAATGGTTTACAATCCAGGTATGAAACAATATCATGCACATCACTATCAGCACTCGGTTCTTGTCCCGTGATCATTTCCAACTATCCTTGTTATAGCAACTCCATCTCTACCCTACGTGCCCTGCCCATATCCTCACTTGTGGCAAGCTTCCAAGCTACCAATCCTCCCAGTCCTCATTTCTAATATTCTTAGTGTTAAATTTCTCTTATTTTGATTGCAAAATTTTATTTTAATTTTTTAAATAGTAAAAGCAATATAGAAATTCTGATGCAGTATCATGTCCATTTTAATAAAAATAAAATAAAAATAATTTACTTTAAACAAATTCTGTATCAAACCATTATTGTCATGCTTTGGATATCTTACTAGATGCTCAAGTACAGAGGAAAAACATGCATCGATAGAATGTGTGAAGCAGAGCAGATACGGGCGTGGGGCATGGCGCGCTCCTTGATCTGATTATTATTAGCTAACTAGAAGTTCAATTTACTTCTGTTTGTTTCCAAAGGTTTGCTTTTTCCCTTTAGTAAAATACCATGGAAGAGCAGAACACACTATATAATAGACAGAAACAGAGTGCTGGTTGGGATGCAGTGAAAAGGGAACTCTTATTCACTCCTGGAGTTGGTAGGGGGGCAGGTGTTGAATTGTTCAATTACTTTGGAAAAATCATTTGGATACTTCTCAAAACATTGTAATGGAACTTCCATATGACCCAATATCCTGTGTCTCGTTATCTATCCCGGGAACGCAGTAACAGTAACTGAAAAAAACACAGGTATCCCTATGTTCATTGCATCAATATTTACAATAGCCAAGATCTAGAAATAGAAACAAACCACATGCCAACATCAGATGAGAAGATAAAGAAACTGTCACACACACACACACACACACACACATATGTATGCACACTGGAATACTATACATCAATGAGAAAAGATACAATTTTGTGGTTTGAAATTGTAGGGTGACATGTTAAATAAAGTAAGTCAGCAGGTGAAAGACAAATACCAAATGTTCTTGCTGATATGTAGACTATAAAGAAAAAAAGAGATGTATTAGACCATACACAATGCGAAGGAAACCTGAAAAATTTATAAACCAGAAACTGAGGATGCTGGAGGGAGAGGGAGAGAGGACAGGGTGTGGGATAATGGTGGAAGGATTTTAATTCTTAGATGCTGGCTTAGTAGCTCTGCAACTGAGAGATACAGTGATTTCAATTGTCCTGTAACTATGACACCACTATTTATTTCAATTGTTGAGAAACTACAAAAGCAATAATCTAAATAAATACCATGTTTTCTCTTTTTCAAGAAAAGGAAAAACAATATTTCAGGTTCTTTACACCACTGCAGTCAAATCTCCCAACAAATTTGCTATCCATCGTCAAACCAGTTATTACAAATTAAATTTACAATGAAATATTACTGACAATAAACTGTAAATAACAATTCAATGATCATTTTATTAATACTAAGCATTTTCATTTCTTTTTAAATATATAGATGGCTATTTAATTTATTTTCTTTCTTTGAGTACCAATGCTATTTCAAGTTTAACTAGCCTAATTCATTCTATCTATAATGTGTTTGAACTCAGTTTTAAAAATGTAAGGCTATTACACTAATCCAGCTAACTAAACATTCTAACGAACTAATAAAGCTTAATTTGATGGCTGGGTTTAACTCAGTAAGGAGAAATTAAGTGTTTTATAAGCTGATTAGTTGTCATTAAAACAATAAATGCCTATATATTCAACATTATACTATAGTGAAAAAGAAAAATATTTAAGACTTGATTACTTGGGAAAGACTGCTGTTTAGTAATTTTATATAACTCTAAGGTTCTGTAATTCTACAAGTATTTTTAAACATAAATTTGAAACATTGATTGTTATCTAGTAAAGAACCATATGTACATATGTCATATAGTTATTCTCTTACTGAGATTTTTTTTCTTCTTCTGAATTTCAGTTTAAGTACTGGAAAACTAATGTGTTTGAACAGAATAGTAATAATTTATATTTGACAAAATTAATGATATAATGTGATACAGACCGGGAGTAAAGGGAACAGATAAAAGAGAAACAGCAAAATTTTACAGAGTAGAAAGATGATTATTGAACAGAAAATGACACAAGACATATATAGCAGAAGTCACTCCATGAGTGGCAGGATTGCTTCAAATGGAGAAACATTAATAAAATATTGGGTGAAATACCAGAATTTTTAACATATCAAGTGAATTATATGTTGTCTGTAAAATTTATAAGTGATATTTTATTTAAAAATTATACAGTAGATATTTTTAAAATTCAGTATGACATTCTAACCTTTAGTCAAAAAAATAATGGGAGGGTCCAGAGAGATAATACAGTGGGTAAGGTACTTGCCTTGCATGGGCATCAATGCCTGATATGCCATATGGTGCCCCAAACACTACCCAAGATTACTCCTGAGCACTGAACCAAGAGAAACCCCTGAGTGTGGTAAAAATACAAACAAACAATAGGAAAAACAAACAACAAAAACAAACAAAAAATGGGATAAACTCAGCTAATGATCCTCAGAAATTATGATCAAGTAGATATAAAAAGAGTCACTTATTAACTTTTTAAATTGAAAGGACAATTGTAGAATTGATAACTTAAGTTTGTAAATCAGTATATCACTTGAAAAATTTGAAAAGAAAAGTAAAAGATATAATTAATTGGCAATAAAGCAATCGTGCACTTACCGTCATGATTAGGATTTCCAAGCGTCCATGGTTCATCGGAATCAAAATGGGTATCTCCCCCAATTCCTGGTCCAGGAAAGTAGGCATGTGCCAAAAACCCTCCTTCTCCATCAAAGGGAGAACTGTCACCATGAAAACCAGAAGCAAAAATGATGGTTATATCCACATCACGTTTGCCATTTTCTAATTCACTGTAGGGAACTTCTTCAAATGTCAGAGGCGTTACATTCTGCCACACATCAAACGCTCGCCGGATAGCTTTGCGGGTTTCAGGATCTCCTACTTTCGGAGTCACGTTCTTTATACTGAAATTAAAAAAAAAAAGAATAATCAGTATGCCTTGGTTTATGTATAATCTGATCCATTACAGATGCTAATCTGATGAATATATTAGACAATTATGTCTAATGCCAGGCAGGAAATAAATGAAATCATTCCTGATGTGTCAAATTTCATGATGCTGGGGTCTTTAACTTTCAGGAGTGTAATATTAACCTACTGTAGCTCTAAACAAAAGATCTCGGTGGAATGGAAAACAGTGGCATAAACAGATCCATCAGTCACTCTGCCTCATGAACAACAAAAGCCGGGCAGCTTTGTCCAAGGACCAAACAGTGCATCGCCTTTAAGCTAAAATAAAACCTTTCAATTCTTTCTGGTGACTGTTACTTTTAGGGGGATACCATAGCACAGAGATATGCAATTTCAAAGAAGTGTCTTTACTTGTCTTCTTATCTGTATATACCACCAATGTATGCACAGATTTTAATCTGACTTTCAGTACTTTTTTAAAAAGTCAGTTAATTATAATTTCTGATGCTTTACTGTTTTTGGTATGCACTTACTATGTAAACAGAAAATGAGGGAGAAAACCAAATGGAAATGAAGAATAGGCAAAGTTGGTCCATGGATGGGAAATGGCTGGAGTAGAGAAACGCTACACTAGTTTAAATGGAAATCAGCAAAGAGAGAAAGAGGGGAGAGAGAAAAGAAGGCAAACATGACCACGTGACAACAAGAATGCAGAAAAGCAAATGAGGTAGGTTTTGTTAGTAACTGCAGGACGTTTTGCATTTGCTTGAAGAAACGTGGAGAGAACTGGAGCTCATGAGTAGAGAAATATTTGACTTATACTTTATATAAATGAACGGTTATGTAGAAAATATGTCGAAGTGGAGCAAGAGGTGAAGGCAGGTAGGCCAATGGAACCTCTGCAAAAAATGTAGCAGAGGCATGATAGTACTTGGAGCAGAGTGGAGAGGAGAAATGTTTGTAGATTGGCTATGTCTTGAAGACACAGTTACAAACACATACTGAGACTCAGAACACTGACCACGAGAGACAAAAAGTATCATGAAAGATAATATTTTTTCACCTTTGTTTTTCTTTTTTGGGGGGACACAGCCAGCTGTGCTCAGGACTTACTCTTGGCTCCACACTCAGCTATGACTCCTTGTTGTGCTCAGGTCAGGAGACCACATGGAAAGCTGGGGTCTGAGCCCACATTGGCCATGTGCAAGGCCAGCACTCTACCTTCTGTACTATATGAATGAACAGAGTGAAACAGTTACTATCTCATGGGCTATAAGTTATGCAGTGGGGTTTGTGTGTGTGTGTGTGTGTGTGTCTGTATGTGTGTGTGTTAATATTATTAGGCATTCAACAATATGCTCCATGCTTTTACTTTGATAAAGAGGAGCGATAGCACAGCGGGTAGGCGTTCGCCTTACAAGCGGCCAACATGGCCGACCCGAGTTCGATTCCTCCGCCCCTCTCGGAGAGCCCGGCAAGCTACCGAGAGTATTCGATATGCCAGACACAGTCTCCAATAGAGACGTTACTGGGTCCGCTTGAGCAAATATATCCATTTGGACATTATATCTTTTTCTAGCATTTTTGCCTCAGAAATTCCTCCTGGATAGCTAAAAAGTCTGCAGATTAATGTTTTAAGCAAATTTTATTCAAAAAGTTTTTTTGTAACAAACAGACTTTTCTTCCTACCCTCTGGGACATCAGATGGCCCCTAACAGCAGGCAGTTATTCTTATATTTTATTTTAAAGACTTTCTTACAAAATATTAATCTTCTAGATCCTATAGATACATTTGTGAACAAGAGTATGCTAATAGAGTTTATATAGTTTAGTGGTGAGATAAATATTTGATAGAGAACAAAAAATTATAATTACTGATTTGGGTAAGTGAGGGGGAAGTGAGATGAAGTCAGTAAATAAAATTTCAATGACAAAAGGAGTGAAAATCCCAGCACTCTTCCCATCACAAGAAAGAACACACATGCGTGAAGAACCTGGCCAGTTCTAAGAATAGGACTTCTCAGGGAAGGACTGTGAAATGAACCATGCATACAGCTGTTGGAGTAACATGGGCGAGGACAGGAAGGACTTGGGTTTTATTCTGTGAAGGCAAATCACTGGGTTAGTTTTAACAGGAGAAGTATGCCAGTGTTAATCCAAATCACAAACACCAATGTCTCGAATGAATGAATGAATGAATGAATGAGGAGGCAAGAATGGCAATAACAAAGCATCTCAGAAGCTCAAACAGAGGGAGATATTGGCATGTGCTAGAGTGGTATCGAGAAGATATGAAGATTGAATAGTTCCATATATACCCTGATGTAGTGACAGATTCAATATGTAAGGTAGAAATGACTTTTCCTTGAAGTAAAAGTAACGTTTACTTCTTTGAAAGTAACCTAACAAAAGAGAAAAATGGAAATAATATGTCTACATATACATATACGTATATATGCATATATATTATGTATACACATGTGAATACTGTCACTGTTCTCCCATTGTTCATTGGAGCAGGCCCAGTAACATTGTGACACTTGTTGTTACTGTGTTTGGCATATGGAATACATCACCTGTAGCTTGCCAGGCTTTGCCATGAAGGCGAGATACTCTCGGCAGCTTGCCGGACATAAAAGTATATATGCATAGGTATTATATATATATACACACATATGTATATATATGTAATACATATACATATGCATACATATCACCCACCATCCCCCCATCCCACCCTGCCTCTGTGGCAGGGCATTCCCTTTTGTTCTCTCTTTCCTTTTGGGTGTGGAGTTTTGCAAAAGAGGCAATGAGTTCCAGCCCCCATTTCAAAAAAAAATAAAGCAATATAATGAGGAAATTCAGGAGTTTTGTTTATGGGCCACCTGGCAGTGCTCAGGGAGGACTCCTGGAGAGTTAGGGACAAACCTTATGCAGACTGAATCCAGATAGGCAGTGTGAAAGGAAGATCCCTGCCCAAATCTCACCAGCCCCCATTTCTTTTTTTTTTTTAATTTTTATTAGTGAAACACCATGAGGTACAGTTGTAGACTTACAAATTTTGGTGCTTGTGTTTCAGTTATGCAATGATCAAATACCCATCCTTCCACCAGTGCCCATTCTCTACCTCCACTAATCCCAGCATCCCTCCCACCCACCATCCCCCCATCCCACCCTGCCTCTGTGGCAGGGCATTCCCTTTTGTTCTCTCTCTCCTATTGGGTGTGGAGTTTTTCAAAAGAGGCAATGAGTTCCAGCCCCCATTTCTAAAAAAATAAAGCAAAATAATAAAGAGTATTAAATGTTTAAATATTTTCTGAATCTGGAAAGGAAACACTCTTTCAAAGCTATGCACTAATTTACTTCCAAAATGTCCTTAACCACAGTATTTGCGATGTCATCAATAAATATCACACACGAGTGAATTTCAAAATGAAAACTTGAATTCTGAAGTGCAAACAAGCAGCTGTAGCATAATTGGATCCACACCAACCTATATATTAACAAATCTCTAGGTAATAATTATTCTTCTCATTAAAATTTGGAGTTAAAATATTTTTTCAAGCTACAGTACTATTTTATCTTTAATTTTAATTTAAAAAGGATTGAATATTTTGTTATCTAGCTAACATATAAAAAACTGTGTAGAGCACTTTCTTTGAATATGATGAAAAGGGTTTAATTCCTGGTACTGACTCAGTCCTCCAAACATCTTCAGGAGTGATCCCTGAGTGCAAAGTTAGGAAAAGGCCCTAAGCACCCACATTCCCCAATCAAGGTAGCACTGTAGCACTGTCCTCCCATTGTTCATCGATTTGCTCAAGTGGGTCCAGTAACGTCTCCATTGTGAGACTTGTTGTTACTGTGTTTGGCATATTGAATACATCACAGGTAGCCTGCCAGGCTTTGTTGTGCGGGCAAGATACTCTCGGCAGCTTTCCGGGCTCTCTGAGAGGGGTGGAGGAATCGAACCTTGGTCAGCCGGGTCGGCTGAGTGCAAGGAAAATGCCTACCCACTGGGCTATCACTCCAGCACCCCCCCCAATCAAAACAAACAAGAAATAAAAGTCATATAATATTACTATCCTTAGAAATTTGAATGGAAAACTCAAGTCTACTTTAGTCATTTCCACAGCCAAAAATAATAATTAAAAAAGTATACTAACAATTTATGGAAAATTAGTAACCATTAAATAGGATTCATAGCACTGTAAGGTTGAGATTTGCTGAAATACAATAAAATTAAGTATAAATGTTAGCTGAATTGTTAGTTGATACACATTCACATCACATTTAGTATTCTATTAAGAGATAACTAAGTAGACTACACTCATTTACATTATTATGCTGCTATAATTGAGGTTGCTTCATTTTCTCTTTTAGCATGAGGAGTGGCCATAACGTGGGGACTGAATAAGAACTCTCCCTCTAAGAAATATTACATTAATGATTTGGGAATTTCCCAAGTTGCTAACTTTCCAGACAAGGCAGATTTTAAGTATCTATTTCTTGAGGTCTTGTTTAAACAATGACTTAACTTGCTGCATATTCTGTGGACACAGATATGTCTCTGAAGTCAATGTGATCAATCATGTTTAGTGAGTTATTTTGATTTAAATCAAATGAGCCAGTTTTCCAAACAAAATAGGAGACTAACACCTAAGAATGCTGAGATAAGTACCAGGAGGTTCACTCCATGGCTTGGAGGCCAGCCGTACACGCTAGGGGAAAAGGCAATTCAGATAGAGAAGGGAGCACCAAATAAAGGGTGTTGGGAGAATCGTCCCAGGATGGAAGAAGCATGCTGAAAGTAGACTATAGACCAAACATGATTGCTACTCAATGCCTCTTTTGCAAACGTCAGCATCCAAAAGGAGAGAGAGAACAAAAGGGAATGCCCTGCCACAGAGGCGGTGTGGGATGGGGGGATGAGGGGTGGGAGTGATACTGGGATCAGTGGTGGTGGAAAATGGGAACTGGTGGAGGGATGGGTACTCGAACATTGTATAATTGAATCCCAAGCACAAAAATCTGTAAGTCTACAACTGTACCTCATGGTGTTTCACTAATATAATATAAAATAAAATAAAATGAGACATGTTTGGGTAAAGAACTGATTACTCACTCACAAATACAAACTTTTTTTGCATACAATAGTAAAGCAAAATGATTCACTTCTAATTTGTCATCAGTAGTCAAAGTCATTCATTTGAAATCAAGAGTAGCAAAAAGGATAATTTACCTAGGAAAATATTATGGATACTTATTGAACATTACTTTTGAGTTATAGTCCATAAAGAGAAGAACATATTCTAACCTATTAAACAATTTCTAATGAATTTGGGAGGTATCTATTTGATGAAAATACTCTGTTCCTGGGAATTTTTTGCCCTAAACACACAAACAATAATGTGAAAAGGCACATATCCACCTATATTCTTGTAGCAGTGCTGACAATAATCAAGAACTGGAAACAACTCAAGTGCCCGACAACAACTGTATTTGAAAAAATCTTTACAATTAGAACAAAAATTAATGTATTTAATAAATTAAGGTTTACTCTACATTAGACACTCTTCGAAATTTGGGGGAACATAAAATACATCTGTTCTCTGACAGAGCTAAGTTTCCTGTCTGGTCTTGAAGTAACCAGCAACATAGAGTTCTGCAAATACTCACTTTTCTACTTGAGTCTCATTCTAGACAACTTTGTCCTTGAGAGCAAGACCTCGTCTTACCTGCCGTACTTATCAGTCTGTGCAGTGCCACCACAGGTATTTGCAAACACTCCTAAGGTTACTGAAATGATCCTACTTGCACTGTCTCAAAAATTCCTGTTGATTAGCATCAAGAACCTAGGTTATAGAAGGCCCACAGAGAAGTAGATATTTTTAATTTCTGGAAAAATTGAAATTATTCCATGTTAATTCATTGTTCAATTATTTTCTTAAGTAAATTTGGAATTGGAGGCTAACAGAAGTTTACAAAGGATAACAACAACAAAACCTATGTGAACTAACTTCAATGACTGTGAATACCAACTTTGAGAGTCTGGCCTAGCACTGCCCTCTATTCTATTTTCTGCAAACTTTCATAGAAATATGCTGTATGAGATACTCATTCAGAAACATGTTGTTTATGAACAATAGCATAATACAAAATAACAACAAAAACTTGCCTTAAATAACCAAGTGTCTCTGTGTTCTATTATAGATGTGTAGAAAGAAATTTAGCACACAGAGATTATAACTTTATATTTGCATATGCATAAAATTTAATTTATATATGAAATAAAAACTTCAAATTCTTTCTTCTATTTATGTAATTCAATTTAGATATGATTCCAGATATTACTCCCTTCCTGGATTTATTTTTCCTATTTCTTTATTCTTTGGTCTCAAGCATTTTCATTTTGTGTGGATCTTTGCTCAAACATTATACTTTTAGGGACACCCTCGCTGTTGCCTAGAGGGGCTTGTATGACTCTGGTTTCTGTTCCTTCCACTTGTCATCAAATATCAGTATCAAATGGCTATATTCCATTGTCTCTCTCTAGATTTTATTCTAACTACAACTCAATAAAAATGCTTAGTAAATATGTGAATACATAAAAACATTTCAAACTAGCTAGAACTAGTGAGAACTAATTACTGTTCAAACTAGTTAGGACAGCTACTCCAAGTTTAAGAAACTTTCATTCCAATGGTATTTTGACAGAAGACAAAAAAATGATCATCCATTTGCATTTTTAAGAAAACATATAGTAAGTAAAATAGCTGGACCAGTACTAAAACCTGTGATTCAAATATTTTGCTAAAAGGGCAATTATTTATTCTTTTTTAATTTTTTTGTTAAACGATGCAACATTAAAATGCTCATCATAAAAGCATTAAAGAAACTGGAAGATTTTATCTATTTATTTATTTATTTATTTATCATAACTGAATTACCCTGAGATACAGTTACAAAGTTATTCAGGATCAGGTTTCAGTGATACAACATTCCAACACCCATTCCTGCAACAATGTGCATTTCTAATGACCAATGTCCCCAGTTTCCCTCCTGGGAACCCCTACTCAGTTTGCCTATGTGGTAGGACCTGCTTTTCTTTCTTTCTTTCTTTCTCCTTTGGGGCCCTATGTTTTGCAATATGGTTACTGAATGGTTAGGAAGCTAAAATTTATAAAAGAAACAAAATCTCAAGAAATATCACCAAGGTCCTCAGGTGAACAAATGAATGGTTTTCAAATACAGTTTCAAATTTCATATGTGAATATGGTATCACTCTTTGTTACTATGCAGTCAATACATGCAACAGGACAAAATGTGAAGATGGATATATATGGAAAGGAACAAACTATAATTTGTCATGAGTTTCGGTACCTGTAGGTGATGTGTTTGTGCTGCCACTTCTGTCCCGTCAATGCATATCGTTTCCGACGAACATTAAATCTGGAGCTGCCTCTTGTCTGGTCAGGAACACCGCATCGAGGCTTCTTCATCCAGCTGAAAACAGAAAGCCCAGTTATTGGCAATCAATCCTGACCATGAATTAAAATACTCAACTTAGAAGTCCCCTATCACTGTATCACTGTCATCCTGTTGTTCATCGATTGCATCAAGCAGGCACCAGTAATGTTTCCTTCGTCCTAGCCCTGAGATTTTAAAAAGTGCCATATTCAAGGCTCTCTCAGGGTCAGGAGAATAAGACTCACCATTGTTACTGGTTTTGGGCATATTGAATATGCCACGGGGAGTTTGCCAGACTCTGCCGTGTGGGCAGGATACTCTTGGTAGCCTGCCAGGTTCTCCAAGTAAGAACTAGATAATAAGAAGTTACCTATAAGAGTGCCAATAATTGTAGCGGGTCTGAGGCACTTTGTTGATGGTGGGATATAGTCATTTTGTGCATAAAAACCATAAACATCAAGATTATTCTAACTCCCTAAACTGTATAAGCAAATAAGTAAATAAGCAATTATCAACCCTTTTGCCCCAAATTTGAATCTTAAGTACTACCCTAGAGAAATAAACAAATCAAACTTCTAAAAAATGTAAAAATATGTAAAAAATATTTCAATTTGAATCCACCCCCCCACCCCATATGATACAGAATCACTAACTTACAACTCAAATCCTTGAGAGTATTTTTATTAGTCGTTTTGAGTTGTTGATGGAAATACTCTGAAGATTGTAAGCAGCAGGGCCAGAGAGATGGTACAGGGATTATGGAATTTTGATATCAGGAACCGTCTATATACATCCATCTCATGTAGCAAAGTGTGGTCCCTGGCTCTTCAAATTATGCTGCAAAGTTATGTGACTGTCACTAATTACTTGTCTCATTCATATAAGTAAGCCATTTACTAATACTCATCTGGCTTTATTATTTAGTTTCTTCGAAAAATCTCTATCACCTTAAACTTTCGGAGTCAAGATGGTATAAGCTCTTTGATTGTACTCAGAAATCTAACCAACAGCCTCATTTAAATAGCATTAACAGTTTTCCAACCACTTCACCTCTTCAATCTCATCATTATCTCCTTTCCAAAGTAGAACTTACTGGCTTTGAATCTTTATCAATAACCACATTCAAAACTGAAAGGAGTAATTTCATTTTATGATTCTGAGATTGAACATTGCACAAAATTAAATGTAATCTCTTTGGAGTAGGAACAGAAAATGCTACATTGATTTTTTTTTTCATGAATTGTTGGAGGCCTCCCAACCCATGCTCAGGGGGCCCAGAACTCCTCGTAGGTGATCCTCAGTGTGTTTAACAGGACTGATGGTTCAATGCTTGAGTTCAACCATGCAGGAGTGCTGGATCCCGGTGCTACTGAGGGTCCCCCAGTCAGCTGACCTAGTGCTGTGCTTGGAATTCAGACACCCATGCATGAAGGGCTTGTGCTTCAGTTCTATCTTCCCAGTTTCCCTTCTGCTTATTTTTTTGTTGCGGGGGGCGGGGGGAAGTGACTTCCACCTGGATTCAGGGCTTACTCTTGACTCCACCCTCAGGGGGGTCATTCTTGGGGGACTGGGAGGGGGAACCACATAGAGACAGGGGATTCAACTTGGGTCAGAGTCAGTTATGTGCAAGGCAAGAACCTTACCCACTGCACCATCTCTCTGGCCCCCAGTCTCTGATTTCTATTTAAACAGAAAATGTTTTCTAATTTCTTCCAGAGTTTCATTTGATCATGATCTTGCTTTTCAGATAGTATTCCTTTCACACTATTTTTACACGTACTGAGAGATGTGTTCATGCATTTTCATGACTTTTCTTTAGTGACTCGGTGTTTTTACCCTTCAGTTATCCACCTGGTTTAATACTTAGAGAGTTAATGCAGAATTTTGTTGGGGCTAAGAGATTCAGGAAGCAAAAAAAAAGGCGGGGGGAGCTGGAGCGATAGCACAGCGGGTAGGGTATTTGCCTTGCATGTGGCCAACCCGGGTTCGATTCCCAGCATCCTATATGGTCCCCTGAGCACTGCCAGGAGTGATTACTGAGTGCAGAGCCAGGAGCAAACCCTGTGCATTGCCAGGTGTCACTCTCCTACCCCCCGAAAAATAAAAGAGATTCAGAAAGCAGAAATAAGTAAATAATAATGTTTTCCGTATTTTATTAAACATTTAGAAATTATACTGTTTTGTTTCTGTGCCACTCACGGTGGTGACCAGTGCTTATGCCCGGCTCTGTGCTCAAGGATCACTGCTGGCAGGTTCAGGGGACAATTTGTGTTGCCAGTTATTGAACCAGAGTCTGTTGTATGCATGGAAACGCCCTACCCACTGCAATCATTCAAGCCCAAAGTTTCTATTATTTAAGAATTTAATAATTAGCTGTAGAAATGACTATATTAAAAACTCTCTTGGGAAGATAAATGCAAAAAATTATGTCACATAGATAAATCAGATTAGCTTCTATAAACAGAAGAGCTTCATATTACAATGAAATATTGACTCTAACATTTTATGAAAAATAACACTTTTCTAATTAACATGTTGTCCTTTGTAACTGTGCCTCAGTGACAATACAAGCGATGCAGTGATCAGACTTAACAAATTCTATCCTAGTTTAAAATGTAATATATAGTTACTTCAGAAAATGACTCTATTAAAATCTCTATACCAAATGATTTGTCTTGTAAGTGTTAACTTTTAGGTGGCCATTCAGCCTTGTGGAACCAAACTCTGTAGAGATGAAATTGGAGGGTCCTTTTATTTAACATGGGTTGTGCCTACTTTAGTCCCAAAGTTTGATAGTATTTTACTAGACTGTTCTATACACAAGGACTGTGGTTCTGCACTGTCCAACTTCTGACATTTAAATATATTCAAAGAATAGAAGGATGGGGATACTTCATATTCTTAACAATAATATCATCTATTTTTATTATATAATGCAAGGCATAGATCTAGATCTAGATTTAACTAGGAAATACTAAGCACTGGTTGAAGACTTTGTGATTTAAGTGATTTTTATATGTGGCAAGTCATAATTATACTCTCAACAAAAAATATAATATGTATAATCCAAGTATTCATCCATCATTATCTCACTAAAAGTGCTGGGGACATAAAATGTTTAATTATTGAAAATATTAATTGCCATATATAGGATGTGGTTACACTTACATTTTTCTGAGGAAAACGTTTAAGTAAGCATCTTGGGAATTAAACTGATTATGAATTAGAGATAGGGAGAAAATTTAACAACATAATTAGCTATTATAAGAATGAAATGTTTTATGTGATGATATATTTTTAATATTACCTTGGTAATAAGTTAAATGAAAAGATAAAGATTGTAATTGAATAAAGTTAAATATATTAATAAGAATTCAATTTAAAGCCACGCATTATTGGATTAAGTAGTTTTCTCCAGAGTATAGCGTCTTTCAAAGATCAGGGTTGTGAATAAAAAGTTTAGAGCCCTCTGTTGAAAGACAGAAGCTGAATTATTTATATATTTATTGGTTTTCTCATACATTTTTCTTAAGTTCCAAATATTTTTAATCTACTTCTCCATCCTATAGTTTGCTTTTGTTTGCTTGTTTGTTTATTTTTGGACCACATTTGGGAGTGTTCAGGGTCTATAGGAGGTACCTGGGATTGAGGATGGGACAGTCACGTGCAAGGCAAGTGCCCTGTCACTTCAGCCAGGCCTTGTTCATTCTATACTGATCCATTCCTCCTACACTATTTCTGATCTCCATCATATACAAAGAGATAGAAAAGAAAAAGAGTGAAAAAGAGAAGATTAACAAGTCTAGAGCTTAGCCTACGGGTAGGGCATTGCCGATGAAAGCTACGATATAATAGTTAACTGCTCTCACACTTTCATAAAGATTTGGCATCATCATTTTGAACTTTATTATTCCTTAAGATATGAGATTTTTCTTTGCTTTTCGCTTACAGAGATTGGGGAATAGGAAGGAGTACTGAGTACGTTTTTTTTTATATGTTTTTATTTTGCTCTGTGGTGCCTTGAATGGAACCCGAGATCTCACACATGCCAAGTATATACCCTTCCACTTACCTATTTCCCTGACCTCTTCCAATGCTATTTTTAAAAATGAAAACAATCAAATTTTGCTAACCCAGGTAACAGCTTCCACTGATCTCCTCTCATCAGTCACAGTCATGAAAGCCTCTCCTGTGACTGCATAAGGCCTCAAAGAGTTCACACTCACACCAATACTTCCCTTGTCGCTCTTCAAGACAGATTCTCTCAAGGTAGAGATGTGTTCTTTGCATTCCGGAACACAGAATGCTTTTAAACAAAGAATTAGATTCATTCCTACATAAATGAGGCTCCCTCCTCTCTCCCGACCTCCCGGGATCTTCCTGGTTCCTGCAGAACCAAATCTCTCTGCATCTGCAGGCAACGATCTCTACTGGAAATAAGCTTTTCCTTCAAGTTCCTGCAGAGGATCTTCATCATTTTTCGCCACTCAACTCAAGCAGGTACAGTTTGCCATTTCAGCACAGCACATATTAGCATACTGTGACTTTCAATTTGTGTATGCCTGACAGTTTTCCAATGGCCTGTGAGTCAGAGAACCCAGATGAACTCAGCACACAGTGAAGTTTCCAATTAGGGATAGGAAGCAAATGAGCTAAACCCAAATCTCTTTCCTCTCTCTTTTTCCTATATTGTTATCTACAGTAAAGACAGGAGTTTCCTAAGGACTTCATGACCCTTTGTGGCTCTATAAGGCAAGCAAATGCTTATTGCAAGGGCACTACATTTTATGTAAAATGCTATTTTTTATGTAAAATGCTATTTTACCTGGGTTAGATTCTCCGACCCTCTTGGAGAGACCAGCAAGCTACAGCGACTATCCTGCCCGCACGACAGAGCCTGGCAAGCTCCCTGTGGAGTATCCAATATGTCAAAAACAGTAACAAGTCTCACAATTTGTTGTGAGCCGTTACTGGTGCCCACTTGAGCAAATTGATGAACAATGGGAGGACAGTGCAGTGCTACAGTGCAGTTTATT